CCACATCCTCCTCCAAATCACGAAAGAGGAACTTAGCGGCAGGAGGCAAGTGCTGAACGATGAAAGCTCTCGACCCAGTGCCGGACAGACCCGAATCGTCGATATAGAGCTTAAACTGGATCTGCGCCGGCAGCGAGATCCTGCCGAGCGCCTGAGTAGAATAGACACGGATGAGGGTGATCGCAAAAGTGCACCCAGCAACAATCCCCCTCCAAGCCCAGGAGGGGCCATCAACGAACCCAGAAAGGACGAACGCACGAGCCTTGAGGTACATCGACTCCGCCAGCCTAGCGATCCCCAAGGGTAATCCGACCTGACGACAACGGTACAAAATCCTGCGGAGATCGATCGTGCCATAATACTTGTATAGATCGTGCAGAACAGTCACCGCTTCATTACCGACTGCGGTCGAAGACTCAGCCCTGACGGCCTGCCTCCAAACCACATCCTGGGCACCCTCGAAAGGACCCGCCGCGAAGTATTCACGAGCGTGTGAGAATTCCCAACTCTGAGCAATAGGCCTCCTAACCGAGGAGGAAGAGGAGGAGGAGGCGGAGGCGGAGGTGGAGGCGGAGGTGTAGGCGGGCGGAGGCGGAGGCGGATGAGGAGGCAGAGGCGGGGGCGGCGGAGGAGGAGGAGTAGGAGGAGTTGGAGGAGGAGGAGGAGGAGGCGAAGGAGGAGGACGCATAATACATAGTACTAATACTAATACTAATCATACTAGTACTAGGAATAGTACGAGGACGAGTGCGACACGGAATAATACTGCTGGCTTTACGAATAATATAAAGACAAGTAAGAGTAATAGCAGTAAACGTAAGCGTATCAGTATCACAAACAAATATAATACACATACTACAGAAGCTGATAATCGTACTAATGGTAACCAATGGTATTAATACCAGTAACTCTCTTGGGTTACTGATTTTATTACCTAACAGCGAAGACTGATAGGTTTCTAGTGGTGTCAAAAGAGAGCAGCAGATGACTCCACAGGGGGGTCTGGGCAGCCGTTGGGGAGCCGTTGGGGGGCCGTTGGGGGGCCGTTGGGGTTTGCCGGGGGGGATCGTTTTTCGCATACAGTCACACACTTCGTGCTCTTCGACCTCCCAGAACTCCATTCTTCGACCTCCCAGAACTCCATTCCCGGGCCACATTCTGAATGCCCGGAGCCAACTGTAGGCCACTTCGTGCTCTTCGAGTTCCCAGAACTCCATTCCCGGGCCACATTTTGAATGCCCGGAGCCAACTGTAGGCCACTTCGTGGTCTTCGAGTTCCCAGAACTCCATTCCCGGGCCACATTTTGAATGCCCGGAGCCAACTGTAGGCCACTTCGTGGTCTTCGAGTTCCCAGAACTCCATTCCCGGGCCACATTTTGAATGCCCGAGCCAACTGTAGGCCACTTCGTGATCTTCGAGTTCCCAGAATTCCATTCCTGGGCATGATTTTGAATGCCCGGAGCCAACTGTAGGCCACTTCGTGTTCTTCGAGTTCCCAGAATTCCATTCCCGGGCCACATTTTGAATGCTGAGGCAGGCTGAGGCTGAGGCTGAGGCAGGCTGAGGCTGAGGCAGGCTGAGGCTGAGGCCGAGGCTGAAGGCAGACTGAGGCTGAGGCTGAAGCAGGCTGAGGCTGAGGCAGAGGCAGGCTGAGGCTGAGGCAGGCTGATGCTGAGGCAGGCTGAGGCTGAGGCTGAGGCTGATGCAGGCTGAGGCTGAGGCAGGCTGAGGCTGAGGCTGAGGCCAAGGCTCAAGGCAGACTGAGGCTTTGGCTGAAGCAGGCTGAGGCTGAGGCTGAGGCTGAGGCAGGCTGAGGCTGAGGCTGAGGCAGGCTGATGCTGAGGCAGGCTGAGGCTGAGGCTGAGGCTGAGGCTGAGGCAGGCTGAGGCAGGCTGAGGCTGAGGCCGAGGCTGAAGGCAGACTGAGGCTGAGGCTGAAGCAGGCTGAGGCTGAGGCTGAGGCAGGCTGAGGCTGAGGCTGAGGCAGGCTGATGCTGAGGCAGGCTGAGGCTGAGGCTGAGGCTGATGCAGGCTGAGGCTGAGGCAGGCTGAGGCTGAGGCCGAGGCTGAAGGCAGACTGAGGCTGAGGCTGAAGCAGGCTGAGGCTGAGGCTGAGGCAGGCTGAGGCTGAGGCTGAGGCTGATGAGGCTGAGGCAGGCTGAGGCTGAGGCTGAGGCTGATGCAGGCTGAGGCTGAGGCTGAGGCTGAGGCTGAGGCAGGCTGAGGCGAGGCCGAGGCTGAAGGCAGACTGAGGCTGAGGCTGAAGCAGGCTGAGGCTGAGGCTGAGGCAGGCTGAGGCTGAGGCTGAGGCAGGCTGAGGCTGAGGCAGGCTGAGGCTGAGGCTGAGGCGGCTGGTTGAGGCAGGCGGAGGCTGAGGCCGAGGCTGAAGGCAGACTGAGGCTGAGGCTGAAGCAGGCTGAGGCTGAGGCTGAGGCAGGCTGAGGCTGAGGCTGAAGCAGGCTGATGCTGAGGCAGGCTGAGGCTGAGGCTGAGGCTGAAGCAGGCTGAGGCTGAGGCAGGCTGAGGCTGAGGCCGAGGCTGAAGGCAGACTGAGGCTGAGGCTGAAGCAGGCTGAGGCTGAGGCTGAGGCAGGCTGAGGCTGAGGCTGAGGCTGAGGCAGGCTGAGGCTGAGGCTGAGGCTGAGGCTGAGGCTGAGGCTGAGGCAGGCAGGCTGAGGCTGAGGCTGAGGCAGGCTGAGGCTGAGGCTGAAGGCAGGCTGATGCTGAGGCAGGCTGAGGCTGAGGCTGAGGCTGAGGCTGAGGCTGAGGCTGTGAGCTGAGGCTGAGGCTGAGGCAGGCTGAAGGCAGAGGCTGAGGCTGAGGCTGCAGGAGGCTGAGGCAGGCTGAGGCTGAGCGAGGCTGAGGCGACTGAGGCTGAGGCTGAGGCTGAGGCAGGCTGAGGCTGAGGCTGAGGCTGAGGCTGAGGCTGAGGCTGAGGCTGTGACTGCGACTGCCGTTGCCACTGCGACTGTCATCGCGAATGCGACTACGACTGCGAGAACAGCAGAATTCTACAACTGGATTCTCATCCGAATCTTAAGGGGAATGCTTCCAGATATGCTCCTACACATCGATGTTAGGTTGCTTTGCCGGGATAATATTACCACTACTCATGATCAAACTAATACTATTAAGGATAGTACTCGTACCAACGCTAAGAACATTGCTAATACTACGAATGCTAGACAAATAATAATACACATGCGACTGAGATGACGCACGCGAATACTAAACGCAGTTCTAAGATGACGAATAATGGTACTACAAATACCAGTACTAACATTCAACATTGGTATTAATAATTCGCAGAAGACCAGTAACCACGCTAATAATGATACCACGAACATGACTCTTAACAACACTCATACTAGTATAGCAAGGCGATTCCGAATATGATAGTAATACGAATAGGAATCATGATACCAATAATCTTATGACTAACAATAGTAAGCGTGCTAATTCGAACACTAATGATACGGATCGAAATTCTTTACGCTTCGCGTATCCCCACCAGCCCATCTCACAACAGCAACTCTTGCGAAGCATGCCGACAGTTGTGTTTTTCAGGCGTGTGTCCGCTTTGCCCCGCATATCTCCCCTGTTCCTCCTTCCTCCCGCCTCCTTGTACATCCTCCTTGTGGGGGCAGCGGGAGAAGGACGAGGCGGAGGAGGAGGGAGAGAAAACGCTCCTCGTGGTTTGAGTCGTTTGGGGTTTCTCGTCCTGGTGTGAGTCGTTCGGGCCCTTCTTCCTGGTGTGAGTCGTTCGGGCTCTTCGTGGTGTGAGTCGTTCGGGCTCTTCGTCCTGGTGTGAGTCGTTCGGGCTTCTCGTGGTGTGAGTTGTTCGGGCCCCTCGTCCTGGTGTGAGTCGTTCGGGCCCCTCCTCCTGGTGTGACTCGTTCGGGCTCCTCGTGGTGTGAGTCGTTCGGGGCCCTCGTCGTGGTGTGAGTCGTTCGGGCTCCTCGTGGTGTGAGTCGTTCGGGCGCCTCGTCCTGGTGTGAGTCGTTCGGGCCCCTCCTTCTGGTGTGAGTCGTTCGGGCTCTTCGTGGTGTGAGTCGTTCGGGCCCCTCGTCCTGGTGTGAGTCGTTCGGGCTCCTCGTGGGACCTCTTGGGGGGCTCTTGGAGGCTCTTGGGGCCTCTTGGGGGCCTCTTGGGGGCCTCTTGGGGGCCTCTTGGGGGCCTCTTGGGGCCCCTTGGGGGCCTCTTGGGGGCCTCTTGGGGGCCTCTTGGGGGACTCTTGGGGCCTCTTGGGGGCCCTCTGAAGCGCAAAGGAGCGCTGGCCCCTGAGAAGGAGAACAATGAGCCCAAAACCTTCGTACAATCAATGATTTTGCTATGAAGGAAGAGGAACGCGGCCCCCTCAGAAGGCCAAAATGGGGCCAAAACCGTAGTAAAATCAATGTTTTTTACTTCAACGACGAGTTCAGGCGCCAAACTCCCTCCCCCCCCTCGGGGCCAGAATCCTCGTGAGGGTCGTCGTTTTTTGGCCCTCCCAGGAGTCGAAAAAGACTCCCCTGACGACCCGCGGCCCGCCCTCTCCAGGCCCAGGGGGAGGGGGTAGGGGGAGGGGTAAACCCCTCCCCGAAGGGGAAGAAGGGGGGTTGAGGACAGAGAGAGCTCCCTAAACCACTCACGCCCAAAGGGCTGGTGGGATAATACTTAAGCTGTTCTTATTTGTCGTACAATCAAGTGTTGTAAAAATGCTTGTGCTACTAATCGTACTAATACGACCAGCAATATGATTATCAATAATACGAATAATAATTGCAAGGCTAACGATACTGATAGTCTTGTTAATGTTGCTAATGATGATACCAATAATAATGCGGGTCATAATAATACTTACTTACATCGTAATACCAATGATAATATTTATCAGATGAGGATGAGGAGTGGAGAGGAGGAGTGGGACACTGAGAGGGGTGAGGGAGGAGGGAGGGAGGACGGAGGGGCGGAGGACGCCCGCCTAACCTTCCTCTGCCTCGCTCTCCTGCCTGGAGCCAGGTCTGGAGCAAGAGCCCCGCCAGCCTGCAGCGTGCGCGCTGGGGCCACGGCTGCGCCGTCCTAGGAGCCGTCGCCGCCCGATTTGCGGTCCACGTCGTCGCAGGTCGCGGCTTCGGGGGACGCCGACTCCCCCCACATTCGCGGAGTCCTTCTGCGAGTTGTTCAACGTGGTTTGGGGGGTTGATCGTGTGGGGGTGTAGGAGTGGACGGTCTTTCGCGGTGCGTGTGGGGAGGAGCGCCTGAAGGGGTGGATTCGGTGGGCGTTGGGGTGCCAGAGCGGGCCGTTGGGCGGGGTGGCATGGGGGGGGGCTTACTAGAACACCTGGAGTATGGTTCTCCTCTTGCTGGACCTTTGGGGCCCCGGTCGCCTCTGCTGGACCCGCCTCGAGGTTCCAGTCGTGACGCTCCCCGGGACAGGCCCGAGGACACAGGCTCGGCAACAGCCTCGAGGGCGTTGGCTGTTTTTTCGGATATTGCTTTTTTTCGGGCGTTATTTTTGCCCCCCCCCCCCCCCCCTCCCCGGGAGCAGCCCCAAACCACCCGCGACGAAGGAGCAGTCTCGAGGGTGGGGTCGAGAGCTCCAGAACCCCACAGCGTGGACGCAGGCACGACGTCTGGTGCCTCGGAACGCGGATGCTGGCCTCGGCAGGTGGGGTGACGTTCACCACCAGAAGGCCTCGACGGGCTCATTCTGTGCCCAGTGCTTGGTGAGCTCAGTTTTCGGGAATGTTCATTTGTGCATTTTTTGGCAACGTCCTTGGTGAATATCGGCTTCCAGTCAGGCTTGGAGGCTGTCCGCGATCTTGGCCTAAAATGGGCTTGAGAGGAGGCTTGAGAGTGGTTGACTCGACGGCCACCCCAATCTTGAGGCTCAGGATCGGTTCACACTTCTTTCTGGGCGGGTCAGGAGGGTGTTTCCACCGATCATGAGCCTGAGATCCCTTCGGCCAGGGGGCCAGGGGGTGGGGATCTCTGTTGGGGTCTTCTATTAGTCTCTCCTCTTAAGCCGCTCAGGCAGAGGATGCAGCTGCCTCATGTTACGTTATTGGGCAGGTCGCCTATGGCGACTCGGCCACCATGTGCAATTGGAGCCGCGATGTGACGGAGTCTCGCGACAGTGCAAACTGACGTATCCAATTGCTCACTTAGTGGTTTCGGCGTGAATCATTCCTTCCGTTTCACTGGTCGTCTTCGTCGTGGTCGTCCCCTTCCTCTTCCTCCTCCTGCTCTTCCTCCCCCCTTCTCCAGTCGACCAGGATCCATGCTGCCTCTTCTCACCCCTGCTTGCTCTGCGGCCACTAGCAACCGCATCAGGTCGCGCGCCCGCTCTGAGTCTTGCTATTCGACAATTCATTGCGCTATACGAAAGCATCACTCTTTACATAACATCTCTTCTTAATCAAGGTACCTAGTTGGTAGCGGAGCTTCGGCTCCAACACCAAAACCGCAATGGCTTCTCGTTCCCATTTCACTTCGACAGCACCAGGTTCCAACTCCCCGCCGCTCTACATCGTGCCGTTCTACATCCAGCTGGCCATCTCGCTGGACACTCGCTCTTATCGCCTTCTTCCCGCTCGCCGTGGCAGGAGACGTCGTCACTCTCGGGTCCGTCGGGGGCGCCAGCCCTCCCGTCAGGACCAGCGACTGGAAATGAATGATATTATTCCAAACAGTACGAAACATACAAGGACCCCAGCCGCGCGCCGGGGCTCTCAGCGATCCCTCCCCGGCTCGCGTTAACTACGTTAGCGCAGCTCGCGGACCCCACGTTGTCATTTCACCCGCCTGTCGGTGTAGCCGCAAGTGTCAGACAGTTGCTCGACGCAACGTGCGCATGTACGGTGTCAGTCCAGGGTCCCGAGATTCAGGTGACTGTGTCACGAGATCTCTGGGCGGAGCAAGCGCAGAAGAGCGGGGAGGCAATGGAGTGTTTGGCGATTGCGTCGCCAGCATTACGAGGGACAGCGAATCGGAACTGGAAGAACCATACTTTGTTCCTTGGCGCGCGACCTTCCACCTTACCCACTCTTTCCTTGCAGCCTGGCAGGAGTGGGTCCCGATGCGCACTCCTCTTGACGATCGTGCAGTTGGTGGCGTTAAGTACAGAGAGAATTCGTCGTACGAGGATCTTTCCCGTGACTGTCTGTTTCACGGGATGTTCCGATCACCGAAACCATTGCGACCACACGACGGAAGTATATGCCCAATTCGCAGCTGAGGAGGGTCAAGTATACACGGCGTTTCGGAGGCACTGGGGCACTGATCTTGCCGATTGTCATTGGCGTCGATGCTGCAGCCAACGACCCCGTCCCCGACGACGACGCTGACGATTCACGAACCACGATTGGCTACGGTGATAAGGATTTGTTCGCAGACCCCTGTGGGCTAGAAGGTTACCCGACGGAACCCTGGCTAATCAACTCTAGAGTTCTTGAGGTCTTAACCGGCCAACTTACCAGCTGCGGCCCGAGCGCGATGTGATGCTGGACGAATTCCCTAGCGTGAGGGGGCCCCTGATGCCATTCGCGACAGCGGCTATAACCTCTTGGCCGCTGAGTGGCCTCTTGCCGTATCATGATCAGGAACATCCAGCTCTGGACGTTGTCGAGCCGCTCTGTCGTTGGAGCGTGGCGGGCGCAAGCTCGAGCGGTGTCGGGGACAAGGGTCCAGAACCACTAGCCAAATGCAGCGGTGTCATTTGGCTTCCGTACTTGCGGCATGCAGCGGCGCGAGCGAATCTTGTAGCACCTGCGCACAGGGCGCTTGGCAGTCGGCCTCATCGCGAAGGAATGCAAACATCTTCTCGGTAAACGAGGCGTTCCCCGACAGTGGGGCCGTCGAGCAGGCCGTGGTGGACGAACTGGAGAGATGGCGTGGCCCGGGTTCATTCGAGCGGCAGCCCCTCTCAGAGGCCCGAGATCTCCTTGACGCTAGATGGGTACTCGAGTGGAAACTCATGGCGTTGTAGTGGCCGCGAGCGGGGCAGAGAGCAGCCGTGTCGGGCTTCGCCACCTCCTCGGGTGCCACGTCTCGCTGTGGCCAGCGCCTTGGCGTGATCGGCGCTGTACTGGCAGGTTGGGGCCTGCTCAGCTTGGGCGTCTCACAGGCATTCCTACGCGGTGTGCTTTGCTGCGATTTGCCCAAGCTCGACAAAGAGATCTCTCGCGACGTGTCGTTTACGGTGGCGCCTTGGGGCGTGCCTTTGCTTCCGATGCTTCCAGGCTACGCCGATTTCGACGTCCGGAAGGAGGTGTTGAAGATGCTTCGTCCAGGGTTCGGGCTTATTGGCTTGCCCAGGATGTTGAAATTGGTGCTCGTCGAGACTCTGGCGGAGTTCGGGCTGCGCCCGATCGCGGCCGACCCCCAGCTGTTCGTGAATCGCCGTGGTCATTGGCAGCTGCGCTCGTCGTGTCCGCGCGCGTGGGACGAGGTGCGCGACGACTTCATTGCGCACCTCCAGGGAAAGTTCGGCAAACCCAATCACGAGTCGAGTCTTCTCCGACCGTCGCGGCATTGGATTTGCGTATGCAATCCGCCCTACATCCTGCCTGAGAGCTGTGTCAAGTTGCGCGTTCTGTGTTTGTTGTTGTGACTGCGAGCGCGGTCAAATTCTTAGCAGATAAGAATGCTTTTTGCGCGTTCTTATGCTTCGCGAGTTCTTAAATAACGAGCAGCTCAGGCGCTTGTGGTGGATAGACACACGCATGATGCTTGCTGACGGCTTCACCAAAGGTGCAGTCCATTGCGACGTTCTCGCAGCAGATTCAGAGGGCACCTGGAGCCAAGCGTGGCTCCAGTCAGTGTTCTGGCCAGTTGCGGCATCACCGAAAACGATGCAGTCAACCAGGAAACCTTAGAAGCATTTCCCTGCCATTGTGGTGCTGGCCAGCAGAGCTGTTCGGAACTCGACCAGAGTTGTAGTATCACCTGCCCTCCTGTCCCTTCCTCTTCTTTTTCGCTGCAATTTACACCCTAAGCGGCAGTTGGATTTCTTACAAGCAAAACGATCGATCCTCTCTCTTTTCCACTACCACATCTCATTTCACTACACCCCCTGGGGGCAGCAGGCGCCAGGATCAGAAGCCTCCCAGGCCACGCCCTGGTCTTCCTGCCTCCTGCCCCTCCGCTCCCTGCCTCTTCGGCGGGTGCGCGCCGACGACGCCGCGCGACGACGAAGAGAGCAACGGTGAGGACGACCGACGCAGCCGTCTGCGCCGTCGCCGGTGGTGACGCCCATAACGGCCGCGGCGGCGGCGGCGGCGACGCTGGCGACGCCGATGGCGACGCCGGCCCGGCTGGCGCGGAGGAGACCGGGTCTACGCTGTTGGGGGCTGTTCGCTGCGTCCTGGCGCGCAGGCGCACGAGGCGGGCGCCGTGGGGCTCGTTGTCGTCGTCGTCGTCGTCGTCGTCGTCGTCGTCGTCGTCGTCGTCGTCGTTCTCGGTCGCCATCGTCGTCGGCGTCGGTTTCGTCGCCGTCCCCGTCTGCATCGTTGGGGTCGTCGTCGGCGTCGTCGGGGTCGTCGTCGTCGGTGTCAATGGGTCGTGATCGTCGACCTCGCCTTCGCCGCGGTCACGGTCGTGTATTCCTCCTGCTTCTCTTGGTCCTGCCTCTTGCAATTCGCTGGAACGTCGTCGTCGGGACGGGTGGATGGAAGGGGAGGAGTAGGAGGAGATGGAAACATCAATTTTCAGACGAGGACGAGGAGGAAGGAGAGGAGGAGGAGGAGGAGGAGGAACAACACGAGGAGGAAGAGGAGAGGGAGGAGGAGAAGGAGGGAGAGGAGGAGGAGGAGGAGGAAGAGGAGGAGTAGGAGGAACTGGGGGAGCAGGATCATGATACATCGTATATAAATAAGACCACCACGAATACGAATGATATCAATAACATTATTACCAACAAACTTAATAATACGTGTAGTGGTAATCATGCGAAACATATTCATAGTAGTACTGAGCATTTTTGATTAATTAACAACAGCAACTATCATGCACATAATACGAAAAATACCACAGCATATGGTGAATAATACTCATCACACTATGTCATAGTAGTAGTAGTCGCAT